GTACATACCATGTTTGTCTTTTTGTGACTGGGTTACCTCACTCAGAATCCATCTAGTTCCATCCATTTGACTGCGAATTTCAAGATTCCATTGCTTTTTTCTGCTGAGTAGTACTCCATTGTATAAATGTACCACATTTTCTCTATCCATTCTTCAGTTGAGGGGCATCTAGGTTGCTTCCAGGTTCTGGCTATTACAAACAATGCTACTATGAACATGGTTAAACATACGTCCTTATTGTATGAATGTGCATTATTTGGGTATATGCCCAAGAGAGGAATTGCTGGATCTTGAGGTAAACTGATTCTCATTTTCTGAGCAACGGCCATAATGATTTCCAAAGTTGTGTTACAAGTTTGCACTCCCAAATCAATGGAGGAGTGTTCCTTTTTCTCCCAGAGGAATCTGAAATGGCTGAAAGACACTTAAGAAAGTGCTCAAAATCCTTGGCCATCAGAGAAATGCAACTCAAAACAACTCTGAAATACCACCTCACACCTGTCAGAATGGCTGAAATCAAAACACCAATGACAATCTATGCTGGAGAGGATGTGGAGAAAAAGGAACACTCCTCCATTGCTGGTGGGAGTTCGAACTTGTAAGACCACTTTGGAAATCAGTATGGTGGTTGCTTAATTTTTTTTTTTTATCTTTAACTTAGTAAGCAAACTACAAGAGAAACACTTAGCCAGGCACAGTGAACACACTTTTAATCCCAGCACTCAGTAGGCAGAGTCAGAGCAGATCTCTGTGAGCTTGAGGCCAGGTCTGCACAAGGAGTTCCAGGGCTATAAAGTGAGACCCTGCCTCAAACAAACAAACAAACATAAATAAATAAATAAATAAATAAATAAATAAAATGGAAAGAAGCTAACGCTTTGTGATTTAAAGTGCAAATGAGTTTACGCTTAACTGACTACATTAAGCTGAGTCATGGTTCAGTTCCTGGGTTTTGTGTACCAACTTATAGGTGGGCCAGATTCTGCCTACAGTGTAGCAGGGCTATAATTTTGGTCTTATATCCAGCTCAGCCCCTGGTAGTTTTCTCTCTGACACTGTGTCCATAGTTACTCCCTCTTCCTTCTGCTGTATGCTGGGCACTGTGGTCAGCCACAGTCCATCATCCCCAGCACTGATTTCTCAGGAGCAGACAATGACAGAAATAGTGTGCTGAGGGAACAAAAGCTTTGGAGATGGTTGCAGGAGGAGGCAGTAATCCCAGTAGGGATTACTCAAGCAAAGGGGGAAGAGAGAATTTCTGGCTAACTCTGAATATCTGCAAATCTGGCCTGCCTGTCCCATTTGTGCCCCTGTAGTAATGTCGATGAGGATGAGGATGGTGAAAGGAAACAAGGTTTTCAATAGAGAAAGATGCACAGGAGGCTCTACTGGTGTCGGCTCCAAGTCACTGGCCAGTGCTCAGTGCTCACCACTGAACGAGGAGACTGTGTGTCTCATATTTCTGTGAGCTGCTTCAAACTGGAATGGGGAGGGGGTGGATAATCTTTAGGATTCTAGCAAAGTCTGGGATTACCTGACCACGAAGTCCTCAATCCTCGGGCTGCACAGGCTCCTTGTGTTCCCAGCAAGTGAAAGCACTGTGCGCACAGTCCCCTCCTGCAGAACAGCAGTTGACTGGATCTCTTTGCTTTCCAGCTGTGTCGACTCTACAAGTTCATCGAGCAGAAGGGGGATTTGCAAGACCTAACCCCAACAATAAACTCACTAATAAAACAGAAAACAGGTGTTGCCCAGTTGGTGAAATATAGCTTAAAAGACCTGGAGGAAGTTGTCGGGCTGCTGAAAAAGCTGGGTGTGAAGTTACAGGTTTGACAGCTGTTCTGTGCCGGCAATATGGGCCTGCGGTGTTCATGGGAATGGGTTTATTTCCTTAATGCTAGTGTTGTATTTTCCCAGAAAAACTCTGCTTGGGATTTCTTTGCAAGCCAAGCATCACTGTTTCTGTCACACACCTACGCTGTGGTGTGTGCCTCAGAGAGGGGGATATTGTCAGAGAGCTTAGCAGGCTCCAGTAAATAGTTTTCTGCCTGATCTTACCGAAGGGTTTTGTTTATGCAGAATAGCTGAAAGAGTTGCAGTCCACATTCCACAACTGAGGCTGCTGACCGTATGTGTTGCCCTTCCCTCCATAGGTCTCCATCAACCTAGGCTTGGTTTACAAGGTGCAGCAGCACACTGGCATCATCTTCCAGTTCCTGGCATTCAGCAGACGCAGGCAAAGGGCTGTGCCTGAGATCCTTGCAGCTGGCGGCAGATATGACCTGCTGGTGAGTGTGCCCTTTGTGTATTGACTAGCTCTGGCTTACTTCTACTTACTGTGTGAATTCTTCACTAAAATGCAAGAAGATAAACCAGTAAATCCTATCAAATCCCTCTTAGCATTCATCTAGGAATGCTGAATGCACTGTGGAGCTAGGCATGATGGTACCCACCCATGATCCCAGCACTTGGGTGGCAGAGGCAGGAGGATTGCTACAAATTCAAGACCAATCTGAGCTACATAGCAAGTTCCAGGCCAGCCAGAGCTAAATAAGGGCACCTGTCTCATAAACACAAAGTGTCCAGGTGTAATGCTAGCACTTAGGGTGTGAAGCAGGAGGAGCAGGGGTTCAAAGCTAGACTCAGCTACACATCAAGCCCAAGGTTACCATGGACTACATGAAACTGTCTTTAAAAAACAAAAAATACATGAGAGAAGGGAGGCAAAGGGGGGAGTAGGAGGAAATAGGGAGTGGGGAGAATGATCAGCGTGTATTATATAATATACTAGTACTAGGTACAATGAATGTATGCCAATAAAAAAACAATATGGCTGGTAAGGTGGGTAAAAGTTCTTGCTGTGGTAGCCTGGTGACATGAGTTCTATCCTTGAAATCCACATGCAGTTGGAAGGAGAGCTCTGACTTCACAGAGTTGTCCTCTGACCTCCACACATACACATACTTCAAAATAATAGTAATGATAATATTAAATAATTTGAGGCTTATAGGAAATTGCAAAGATGGTACAAATAGGTCTCCAGGATCCTTTTCACCCATTTCCTTCTCTGACCCATCCCACTTATCATAGACTGTCAAAAGTAGGAATCTGCCATGGGCACACTGAGTTATTCTGCACTGTTCATCATGTAGACTCCCATAGCCACTGCCACAATCAAGACACAGCTGTTCATTACACAGTTTGGGTGGCATCAGTATTATAGGTGCAGGAGAAAGGCAGAAGCTGCCTCACCTTACGCTTTACTCATGCCTATATGGTCAGATTGTCTTCAGCCTTTTGTCTACATGAGTGGATAGCCACATCAGAGTTGAATGTCTTGATTTGAAATTTAAGTTACAAGCTAGGTGTGGTGGCGCATGTCTTTAGTCCCAGCATTCTGAAGGCAGAGGCAGGCGGATCTCTCTGAGTCTAAGCAAGCCTGGACTACAAAGCAAGTTCCAGACAAGCCAAGGCTACACAGTAAGACCCTGTTGCCAAAAATAAATAAATAAATAAATAAATAAATAAATAACACAGAAAAACAAAAGAGAAATTACATTATAATATGTCCTGGGCATGAGATTTTTGGAATTTAGTAGTTTTTGAGGTTTTCTTGCCTTTTTATTGAATCTATCTGTAGGCTTTTGTCAATCTTGAATTTTTAGGCATTCTTTGTAAGTTCTCCAATTTCCTGTTGCTGCTGCTTCTCTTTGTAGAATTCCTGGGACACAGACATTAGATCATGTTTGTCCCAGGGGCCTGGGCTGATTGATTTCTGTTGTTGCTCCGAGTTTCACTGGTTTTTCCCTCGGCATCCATCCTGCTGCGGAGCTCTCAGCCCATCATCAGGCTCCCTCTCTACATCTTTCTGTGTGCAGCGAGGCAACCGAGTGGCCCTTTTAAGATCATGGGCTCCTCTGCACAATCTTATGTGTGTCCGTTGTCTGCTGTTGGTGTGTGTCCATTGTCTGCTGTTGGTGTGTGTCCATTGTCTGCTGTTGGGGTGTGTCCATTGTCTGCTGTTGGGGTGTGTCCATTGTCTGCTGTTGGTGTGTGTCTATTGCCTGCTGTTGGTGTGTGTCCATTGACAGCTGTTGGTGTGTGTTTATTGTCTGCTGTTGGGGTGTGTCCATTGTCTGCTGTTGGTGTGTGTCTATTGCCTGCTGTTGGTGTGTGTCCATTGACAGCTGTTGGTGTGTGTTTATTGTCTGCTGTTGGGGTGTGTCCATTGTCTGCTGTTGGTGTGTGTCTATTGCCTGCTGTTGGTGTGTGTCCATTGACAGCTGTTGGTGTGTGTTTATTGTCTGCTGTTGGGGTGTGTCCATTGTCTGCTGTTGGTGTGTGTCTATTGCCTGCTGTTGGTGTGTGTCCATTGACAGCTGTTGGTGTGTGTTTATTGTCTGCTGTTGGGGTGTGTCCATTGTCTGCTGTTGGTGTGTGTCTATTGCCTGCTGTTGGTGTGTGTCCATTGACAGCTGTTGGTGTGTGTTTATTGTCTGCTGTTGGGGTGTGTCCATTGTCTGCTGTTGGTGTGTGTCTATTGCCTGCTGTTGGTGTGTGTCCATTGACAGCTGTTGGTGTGTGTTTATTGTCTGCTGTTGGGGTGTGTCCATTGTCTGCTGTTGGTGTGTGTCTATTGCCTGCTGTTGGTGTGTGTCCATTGACAGCTGTTGGTGTGTGTTTATTGTCTGCTGTTGGGGTGTGTCCATTGTCTGCTGTTGGTGTGTGTCTATTGCCTGCTGTTGGTGTGTGTCCATTGACAGCTGTTGGTGTGTGTTTATTGTCTGCTGTTGGGGTGTGTCCATTGTCTGCTGTTGGTGTGTGTCTATTGCCTGCTGTTGGTGTGTGTCCATTGACAGCTGTTGGTGTGTGTTTATTGTCTGCTGTTGGGGTGTGTCCATTGTCTGCTGTTGGTGTGTGTCTATTGCCTGCTGTTGGTGTGTGTCCATTGACAGCTGTTGGTGTGTGTTTATTGTCTGCTGTTGGGGTGTGTCCATTGTCTGCTGTTGGTGTGTGTCTATTGCCTGCTGTTGGTGTGTGTCCATTGACAGCTGTTGGTGTGTGTTTATTGTCTGCTGTTGGGGTGTGTCCATTGTCTGCTGTTGGTGTGTGTCTATTGCCTGCTGTTGGTGTGTGTCCATTGACAGCTGTTGGTGTGTGTTTATTGTCTGCTGTTGGGGTGTGTCCATTGTCTGCTGTTGGTGTGTGTCTATTGCCTGCTGTTGGTGTGTGTCCATTGACAGCTGTTGGTGTGTGTTTATTGTCTGCTGTTGGGGTGTGTCCATTGTCTGCTGTTGGTGTGTGTCTATTGCCTGCTGTTGGTGTGTGTCCATTGACAGCTGTTGGTGTGTGTTTATTGTCTGCTGTTGGTGTGTGTCCATTGTCTGCTGTTGGTGTGTGTTCATTGTCTGCTGTTGGCATGTATCCACTGTCTTTCTCATTCAGCCTGGGACCTTCTGGGCTCTTGTTTGCTGTGTGAGTTCTAGAGCCTTGCCTTTAGGGCCATGGAGCCCATGCAGGTCTTCTATTTTAGCAGGCTCCTCTGGTACTGCAGGGTGCTATGTATACTGTCAGGTGTCAACTGAAGACTCAGGTGGCCTCCCTCCACACCTCTAGGTGGGAGAGCACCTTGTTCCTGTTTCCCCTGTGTGTCCACTGCTACTGGGGTGGAGGTGGAGGTGCCAATGGGAGCTTCTCCTGAACGGTAGTAAATCGCCAGCTCCCCTCTCAGCTCCTCTGTAATTCCCAGCAGGGGATGCCTTATTGCAGCTTAGACAAGAGTGGCAGTCCAGGACCCTAAGAACCCCGACCTCCTCCACTGACTGTTGGGAGATGGTAGACATTACCAAGTTAGATGTCAAAGTCCAGGCTCTGCACTTGGTTTTCAGTTTCCAGGCCTGTGGAGAGGCCTGATTACATCTGGAGGAGGGTGAATGCCTGGGTACCACACTCACCCTTGGCTGCTAGGCAACTGCTTCCTTCTGTGATGTTTGCCTGGTGTGAGGCAGTTACTGTCTAAATGTTTTGTAGTTTGCTGTGTTGCCCCTTGACCTTCTACCTAGAGAGAATGGGTTTTCTTGGGGCCTTTTTGCCTGTTCTTCCAAGCATTTCTGAGTTGCCAGTTTCTCCAGTACCCAGCCCATAATGTATGAAGTGATGAGCAAACCCAGAGAATTAACCACGTGTCATTACTTAGATCCTGTGGTCCCTAGCCTGTCTCGTCCACCCACACATTTGATGCTATATGATGGTCAGGGTTTTCAGCATACTACTCAGTAGAAACAGTAGAGGGATGCACATCTACTCTATCACAGCCCAGAACCTATTATAAACAAAAAAATTCATCCAAGCACCAGGGTGGTGGCACACACCTTTAATCCCAGCACTGGAGAGGCAGAAGCAGGTGAATCTGTGTTGGAGGCCAGCCTGGTCTACAAAGCGACTTCCAGGACAGCCCAAAGCTACACAGAGAAACCCTGTCTTGAAAAACAAAAAAAAATAAATAATAGATGGGCAGAGTTCATTTTACTAACAGTTTTATTTAGCCTGTTATATCCCAAATGTTATTTCAACTTCTAAAGCTTGTGTTTGTTGATATTATTTGTAGTCACTACAGCAAGAATGTACTTCACACGTACAGCACATGTCAACCTGGGAACCTCAGATACTTGGTAGCCACATGCAGCTAGTGGTTATCGGGCCTAGTGAACCATACAGATCTAGCAAAGCACTTGTTAATATTTCCTGAATTTGAATGCATGCTTGATTCTTTGTCTGTATACACACCCCACTTTTTTGTTGTTGGGTCCTTTAGTTACTGACACAAAACTTGCTGTTATTTATGGAGTTGAGGGGGTTTTGTTTATTACTTCTTTGTTTTGGGGGGGGGTGTTTGTTTTTTTTACACAGTGTCTCATGCAGTCCAGGCTAGCCTCAGGCTGTACCCATGGCTGGCCTTGAACCCTTGTTCCTCCTCCTGCCTCTGCCCCCAAGTTACATGCTGAGGTTACATGCATGCACCATTATGGCAGGCTTTTGAGAGCTTGCTTTTTTCCTATTGCTTTCCCCACTGTATATTTATCTCTTTCATAATGAGCCCTCTTCCGCTCTATCCACAGATTCCCAAGTTCAGAGGCCCACAGGCTCTGGGGCCAGTCCCCGCTGCTGTTGGTGTCAGCATAGCCATAGACAAGATATTCGCTGCTGTCCTCAACATGGAAGAGCCTGTAAGTCCCTCTGCTTTCCAGCATGCTTTAAGACACCTCCATTCCTCAGTTTCCTTTGACGAGAAGCCTCCCTGGTTATACTCTCACACGACAAGTGAGTAATACCACAGCAACCGACACAAGCTGGACATGGTTCCCTTCATTTAAGACTCTAGCCACCCACCTGGAGGCAATGGTAAAACCCCTAAGTTGAGAACTCAGTCCCCAAGTCCACCCTTCTACTTCCAATGTCAGTTGAAAGTCCCATTTGTTTTGTCTGTGCACTTGACTCGTAGCTCAGAGTTCCATAACCTCTTCCTTGGATTTGGTCCATGTCTTAGAGCAGGTGACAGAACTCAGGGAAACACTGTGTTGACCCAGTTTAATATAAAGGATCTTTTTAAAGTGAGATGAGGACTAGTGTAGGCCCTTCAGGAAGGGACACTGAGCTTCTCTGCCTTATCTGATGCACTGTCCTCCACGACTGCCCTCCCAGAGCCTCCTTCCTGCTGAGCCACTTGTGGGCTTATAGAGGCTTCATTGCATAACAGGGTTGATTATGTCAACAGTGACCCACTTTGTCCCTTCCCCTCCCAGGCACTGGGGCTATGCTCTGCCAGCCCCAACCCTTTATCTGCCCAAGGGCCAGCCCCCCTCCCCCAGTTATCTCTATCTCATTAGCATAGAAAAAGCCCTCTCTTCCATGACTCTAGGATCTGAGGAAATGGGGACAGCGAGCACATAGCTGCTTTGGAGACGTGGCAGCCTGAGTGTTTTGGAAATGACCTGAGAGTCATGTCCTTGCACATCAGTCCTTGTCCTCTGCTCCGAGGATGCTGCTGATTCAGGCACCTTGTCCCTCTCTCCACATCTGTCACACTGTGTAGAGAAAATATTCTGCTTCTTAACACACTTTTGTCAGTCCTCTTGCTCAAAAACCCAGCTACAGTCTATAAAGCTAAAGAATGGCTTTCCCCATATTTCAGGCAAGATGCGTTTTCGTGAAGAGGGGGTAAAATGTGTCTTCCTAATGGTGAAGGGCAGCTGTTGGCTGTGTCTTGCTTCCTGTTTTTTGCAAGGTCACTTTAATTCACAGCCATCTGTGCACTGCATGGCTTATTCACAATTTCAGGGTTCTGCTCTCACCCCCACAGCTGCAGTGTCCCCCTGGTGTAACTCTGTTTCTCATCAGGTTACAGTAAGTTCCTGTGACCTCCTGGTTGTCAGTGTCGGCCAGATGTCCATGTCCAGGGCCATCAACCTAACCCAGAAACTCTGGACAGCGGGAATCACTGCAGAGATCATGTACGACTGGTCACAGGTAAGGGACAGAAAGCTGTGACTGAAGCACAAATAGTTATGAGATGAAGATAAATCAGCCTTTCATGGGCATGTCCACCCCAAGGCCACATGAAACCATAGGGCCCAGCCAAAATCCTAAACTTACAACACTGAGATTTTTGTTGTTACTTCTTATTTGTAACTCAATGATGAGTTTGTCAAGGGTGAGCTTTGCAAATGATAATGGTACTGTCTAGGGGTCTCAATTGGTAAAGAATTAAAGTCAAAAAGAATCCTGAGCACAACAGGAAGCAGCTGGGAATATCTGACACAGCAAGGCACATAGAGACAGACCCTCAGCAGAGCAGAGGTGAGCCTCAAGTCCAGCTTCCTTGAGGGTTGGTAGTTTTAAGGGTCTTTGAGCTCTCTTTGTTCCCTCATTTAGGGTTGGTCAGTTTAAACAAAGACAAGGAAGCTGATAGGCCCAAAACTTTGGGTAATTATGTCCTGGTCTGGCCTTGAACTTGTTAGACCAGTTTAATGGAAGGTGGGGAGAGATACTGGTGGGAGAAGAAGCCAGCCCAGGTATTTCTCTCAGGTTATGAGAAAGATGCTGGAATTTTGCCAGCTTTATCATCTTTTGTGTTCCCTCTCCCGTATCTATCTGCATCTGGGGGATCTGTCTAACTCCACTCTCATGTAGCAATGTCAGAAGGTTGGACATAGGGGCTAGAGAGAGGCCTCAGTGGTTAAGAGTCCTTGTTGCTCTTCAGAGGACCCAAGTTCTGTTCCCAGTACCCATGTCAGGTGTTTTACATCAGCAAGTACCTAGAGCTCCAGGGATCCAGACCCGCAGGTACCTATACACATGTAGGCATACACACACAGAGAGACATACACACACATACATAAATACATTAAAAAAAAAAAAAGACTGGATGTGCCTGCAGGGTCTACTAAAGAGTTTCCCCTCTGCATTAGCTTCTGGCTGCTACTATAACGGATGACCACAACCCAGGGACTTAGCAGTTTTGTTTCTCAGGTTCCTGGAAATCAGAAGCCTGGGTTCAGATGGATTGGCAGGACTTGTCCCTCCAAAGGCCCTAGGGATGGATCTGTTCCTTGCCTTTTCCTTCTGCATCAGCTCAGGCCCTTCCTCCCTTTAAACTCCCTTTATGCAGTCTTCTTCCCTGAGGCTACTATCCTTACCTCTGCCTGCCTCAGGCCCTATGAGGTGAGGAGAAGTGGTACCCCAGACACCAGCCTGCCTTCAGAATTGGGAATGGGAGCTTCAGATACCCAATGTCTGTACTATCTATCACAGACAGATTTTGGAGGGAAGGGTACTTCTAGATTATCCACACTTATGGCACCCCAGGGCTCTGCAATGACCAGGAACACAGGCAGGCCAACTCTCTGGCCATAAGCCTTCTGCAGCTGCTCTGTGTGTATTCATATAAAACACTGTTGTCAGAATGCCAAGCATCAGTTTTTAATCATGTGACAGAAAACACATCAATTTGCTTGTTTCATGTGTTAGAAAAGGGTTCTGTTGTTTTGTTTGTTTTGTGAGACTGGAGCTCAGCCTCCTGAGGGCTGAGTTTACAGGCAAGAGCCATAGTACCCAGCCTAATTCTGCTTCTGCCTTCCACTGTTTCCTAATCCCTTTGCTTTCCTAAAAGGCTGTGTGTGTTACAGTTCTTGGCACCTTTTGTTAAGACTTGGAGCCACTGAAAATCTCGTCCTGTCAGGACTACATACTTGTTCACTATCTTCAAAACAATCGTGAAAGAGGAGAAAGCACAAGAGAATCCCTTCCTGGAATGCTGGGCTCCTCTTCCCTAACGTCACCTGAAGTCAGCATATTTAGTAATTCACTTTGGGAATACAATTAGAAGCAGGATTTTCTTTGTCCTTAATGACTTTCTGAAGGGACTCTAGGCATGCTATGTTCATTTGTCTCGATGTTTGTTTCAGTCCCAAGAAGAATTACAAGAGTACTGCAGACATCATGAAATCACCTATGTGGCCCTGGTCTCTGATAAAGAAGGAAGCCATGTTAAGGTAAAGATGGTAGGAGCACTGGAGATTGCCTAGCATGGATGAGACCCTTGTCCCAATCCCCAGGAACACTACATACACATGTGCGCGTGAGTTCCCTGGGAAACCAAACAGCATTCTCAAAAAACTGTGTCACCTGTGGCTCGCTGGTGTGCTTCAGCATGCTCTCTCCTCTCTCTGTGTCACCTGTGTTTATTTTATATACACGGATATTTTGCCTCCATCTATGTCTGTGTGCCATGTTTGTACAATGCCCACAGGGGCCAAAAGAGGGTGTCAGATCCCCTAGAACTGGAGTTAGAGACAGTAATGGGCTGCCACATGGAAATCAAAGCCAGGTCCTCTACAAGAACTGAGCCACTGAACCATCTCCCCAGCCCTGAGCTCTTTTCTTAGGAGAGCGGTACCTGTCACCAGCATGTCTTCTGGATTCTTCCTAAACAATTTTACTCTGTTGTTCCTAACTAAAAGTTTCCATTAACTTACCACTTCATGACTTTTTTAAATACTAGTTTTAAAGGGAAAAAATTGACCTTTATCCCTTATTCTCTTTATTTTCTTGTAATGCTGTCAGGTTTTTATAGCAGAGTCTTATTAATTGAGTTGTATTTCCTGTAAGTTTGTATGTGATTAGAATTAGAATTGCCTGTCAAATGTGTGGTATGATCCTTGTAAAACCACACAGGCCAGGCTGGAGAAGTGGCTTGTGGGTAAAAGCACATAATGCTCTTCCAGAGGTCCTGAGTTCAATTCCCAGAAACCACATCAGGACTCAACCACCTGTAACTCCAGTCCCAAGAGAGTCCAACACCTCCAGCCTCTGCAAGCAAATTGTACTCATGTGCACATACCTATACACAGAAATGTCCACTTACATACACACACATACTCAAAAAAGCAGTAAACAAAGCCCACACAGGCCTACATACATAGTGGCTGAGCTGCCTCTGTCAGGAATGAGCCGGGAACTATATCTTTCCCATCATAGTTTCCTCTGTAACCATCTCAGGTATTCCTTGATTATTTTTTCCACTCTCACTAAGTTCTGGGGGAATATCCCCTCTTTGGTTCCTAATACTAGTAATTTGTGTCTTCTTTCTTCATTTTAACATAGCATATTTAATTTCATGGATCATTTTATTATTAAACTAACATACAAATGATGGGTTTCAAAGTGGCATTTTCATACATACCTGCCATTGTACTTGGTTTTATTCTTGTCCCTTCCACCTGACACTCCCCACCTCCCTACCCTCTTCTTTCTAGTTCCCTTCCTTCCTTCAATAGTCTTTCCTTTTGCTTCCATGTCATTTGGATCCCATTACCTTTTCTCACACCCCTAAGATCTGTCTTCCCTTGTGATCCCCTTTCTATATGTGAGCCTGAGTGTGCACACACACACACACACACACACACACACACACACACACACCCCTAGATTCCACATAAAAGAATACACATAGCATTTGTCTTTCTATGTCTGGCCTGTTTTGCTTAACATCATAATCTCCAGTTGCATCCATTTTCTTGAAAATGTCATGATTTCATTTCCATTACAACTGAAAAAAAAAAGGCCTTGTGTGTTATATACCACATTTCTATTGATGATGAAATAGAATCTCAGCTGGTTCCATTTCTTAACTGTTGTGCTTAGGGCAGTAATAAACATGGAGTGGAAATACAATTTGATGGGGGACATAAGACTTTTTTGCATGATGTGAGCTAGGAAATGCCAATCAGCATCCTGCAGAGAACATTCTCTGCCTGGAAGGTGGCAGCGGGTAGTAGGGACGTCTTCAGTAGTGGGGTCCCAATAGCACAGATAGACAGGCTATAGGTGTTTGCTGAGAGACCTTTTAAGCAGAAGGCATAGCAAAGGTCATGGACTGTTTTTAGTAGTAAGTTGTCTCAAAGATAGGGACACCGCCTTAGAAAATATTCTTATGCTATCCTTTCGTGTGACTTTTCCCAGGGAGTTGTACAGAAGTACCCACATCAAGTAGACAAACTATTTTATCCAGGTCCAGCCTGGTAAAGCAATGAGTTTATTGAGATTACTTACAAAAGCATGGGTAACTCAAAGGCAGCTGCATCAATGAAAAGTGCACCCCAGCATGAGTACAACTCATGACAGCTGCTTCTCTGGAGTCCCGGCCGCAGTCTACCTTCTATACATGCAGGCAACCAAGACCATGTGCAGCTGGGACAGTTACATGGGGGTGGGGGAGGGGTGGGAATCTAAAGCGACAATTTGATGACCCTCTCTGCACCCTTCTGAGACAATGTGAACAGGTCCAGTCCTGTGAGCACCTTGAGTAGATAACAGCTGCTCAGACATGCCCAAGGTTGGGCGCCACTATGCCCAAACAGTCTATTTTGGATGAAAGCTACTTACTTCAGCAGGCAAGAATGGTACAACTAGATCAAGGAGTCTGGATGTGATTTAGCAGCCAGTGAGGAGCCAGTAAGGTCTGGGCAAAGGAGTACATCAGAATTGAATTTGAAAAAAAATGTTTATTTGTAGGGATAATACTGGGGGTGGGGGGGAACACAATGGACAGCATCAGGCTAGCCCAGGCCACAGCTGGGCACAGGCCATAAGAGTGAATGTGAAAGTGGAATAGCAAGGCCTGGTTTGTAAAGGGAGGTAGTGCTGACATCTGAGAAACCAATGACTGGATGTTTGAGAGAATAATGTAGGAATATGTGAACTGTCCTTCATGGCCATTTTTGTTTTAACTCTGTCATCTCTAACTATTCCTGAACAGACCAACGTATCTCAGCAACACTTTCAATGTTTGGAGCCATATGGTTCATCATTGCTGGGTCTCTGGCCTAGACCTTATAATACTCTTATGTCAGAATACTGAAACACACCCCACAGTTGTGACATAAAAGCATCTCCAAAGCCTGTCAGTCAAGCGCTTACCACCAAGCCTAATGACCTAAGAGCCATCCCCAGACTCACATAGTAAAAGGAGAGACTCCACTCCTGCAAGTTGTCCTCTGACTTACACACACACCATGGCACGCATGCACCCATATACATACACATATACACACAAAATATATAAAATAATGTTGTTTTAAGTGCTACTTTAAAAAAAAAAAGAGGTGTCCTCCAGGGAGCAGAATCACCCCCAGTTAAGACCCTCTGACTACAAACTGTTGACCCAGTCACCTCACTAGGGTATAATGAGCTACCCTTTTGGCTTCAGAAACCTCAAATGATTGCTGTTTTGTTCTTTCCAGGTCAAGTCCTTTGAGAAAGAGAGGCAAACAGAGAAGCGTGTATTGGAGTCAGATCTTGTGGATCATGTTATGCAGAAACTGAGGACCAAAGTCAGTGATGAAAGGAATATCAGGTAACTTAGAACAAAATCCCAAAGTTACTTGCATAGATAAATGTAGTTTTAAAGTTAATTCTCTTGAGATACAGATGAATCAGGATTGGCTTAAACCATTCTGTTACTTCTGAATAATTCAATGAACATTGTAACCATGCCACCTGAACAAGACTGTCATATCTTGCTTTCAACATTTGTTTTTCTGTATTATTAGATTTCTTCTTGTTTTAACAAAATACCCAAGGCTAGGTACTTTGTAAAGGAAACAAAGTTGTGGGGCAGTGGTGGCACACACCTTTAACCCCAGCACTCAGGAGGCAGAGGCAGGCAGATTTCTGTGAGCTCAAGGCCAGCCTGGTCTACAGGCTGAAGAGAGGGAGGGGGAAGAGGAGGAAGAGGGAGAGGGAGAGAGAGAGAGAGAGAGAGAGAGAGAAGAAAAGCTGACAGTTTGTAAAGCCCAAACTCCAAGATTGTGCAGCCCCATCTACTTATCTTCTGGTAAAGACCCCTACCCCTTTGTCTGTGCCATAACATGACAGATATGAGTAAAGGTAACAGCAATAGGCAGAAGAAAAACCCTTCATAACAACCCAAATTTGTAAGAACTTACTCTGCAAGACCATCATTAATTTCTGTCAAGGCCATGTATCCATTATCTAATAGCCCCCACCCCAACTCCCAATGTCTCCACTCTGGGGACCAAGCTTCCAACACATGTACTTTTGGAAACACATTTAAATTATATAAACCACAGTTATATTTTAACAATTTTATAAATCATTTTAAAAGATCAAAATCTGTCTGCCTCTATATCGGTCTGTTTAATGAGCGACTCTTGGCAGTATTTTATCTATGCAAATCAAAAGATACATAAATAATAGGTTCTAGGGAAAGAGCTCATATACACATGATCCAATCACCTAGATATTAATTTAGCAAAGTAAAGTCACCAAAACTAAAAGTAACTGGGGGTGGAGAGATGGCTCAGTGGCTCAGAGCACTTGTTTTTGCAGACGAAACCAGTTCAGGCTCTATCAGTTCAGTCACCCACACGGTGACTCACAACTTTCCATATCTCCAGCCAGTTCCAGAGGATCCAACACCCTCTTCTGACCTCCAAGGACGCCAGGCACACACGTTACACATACGTACATGAATGCAAAAGACTCATACGTATAAATACATCTAAACAAAATTTTAAAATAAACTGTGGTGTGGATAAGAACCTGTCAAGACGTAACTGACACCAGTACTCAGACTTTGAGTGTCATAACCTTCAGTACCCTAAAAATTATGTGAGGAGCTCCCAGAAACATATATGCGTTATATTCATCAGTGTACTCTAGTTGAGGTGGGAATGGTGGCACAGATCTGAGGCTGAAAGATCACAAGTTCAAGGCCAGTCTGGGCTGCCAAGTGAAATCAAGCCAGCCTGGACTGCTACATAACAACACCCTAATATCCCATCTCAGAATTTTCAAAATCCATTAGAAATTCACACAAACATTTAAAAAAATACCTAATTGTTTTAAATGAAAGTAATAACCCATGTCATGCTAACCTAGATAACATATTTTCCTGGAAAACAATTTTTTTAACTTTTGAGACAGGGTTTCCTGTGTAGCCCTGGCTGTCCTGGAACTTGCTGTGTAGATCAGGCTGGCCTTGAACTTCCAGAGATCCTCCTGCCTCTGTCTCCCAAGTGCTGGAATTAAAGTTGTGCACCACCACCACCTAGCCAACTTTATTTTCAAAATAATAATAATAATAAATTCATTTTGAAAAGTGGTGTTTCATGTTCAAAAGTCTGAGATGTTTGTTTGTTTATATCTCTGCAAAGCTTTCATTGAAGGATGTCCATAAATAGGATGGATAGTGTAATCCTACTTTCTTAAGCTAAAATATGCAGTCTATATACAGAAACTGTCTGGAGGGCTCACCAAGATGTTTAATTATAGTTACTTCTAGATAGTGGGATTATAAAAGATCTTGTATCTTTGCAACTCTTGTGTACATTCTCATATGAAAACACAACAGATCCAAGTTTTGTAATCCTGACGTATGTCTGTAACCACAACATTTAGAAGGCCAGGAGTTCAAGGTAAGCCTCTGCTACATAGTAAGTTCAAGTCCAGCTTGGACTCCTTGAGACCCTGTCCAAAAAAAAACAAGAAAAAGACAAAGAAAAGAAAACACAGCACTAGTATTCTGGGAGTCGTAAATACTTCTCAACCAGTGGCAATTTTGTTCTATGGGGACATTTCATACTGAGTGTTTGAAGACAGGTTGTTGTCGCAACACAGGCTATTACAGGTACACAGAGGCCTGCGTGCTGCTGGCCACAATGACAGGGCACAGGACTGATGAACATACCTCCAGCAAAGACTATCTGACACCAAGTGCCATGAGTGCCAGGACTGAGATCTCACCTTATAGAAAACAAGCCTTGTTTTGCTTCCTATACTCCCCCCCACACCCACGCCTTCCATGTCTGCTGAGCTGAATTCAAGGTCAGGCTTTTTTCAAGGCTATTCTTCAAGTCACAAGGTATTAGAACAGCAAAGTTAAATCAAATACAGAAGTTTAGAAAATAAAAGGGAGAGGTGCTATTGTGTCTCTTAAGGGCTATAAATTAATTTGCAGCATTTGAAAGAACATCCATTCACAGCTTTTAAAATGTCTGTATTTACCAAGTGCTCTCCTGTGGGTGGTCGCCAGCACAGGTGGAGCCTGCTATTACTATACTTTTGTATTATGAGGGCACAGAAAGAACACCCATTCCAGTTCATTAAAACAGCTGCCTCTATAGAGCCAGGACTTCAGACCCAGCTGAATCGGTCATGTTTTCTTGGGCACTTGTTAACTTGACTCATGTCCTTCCTTTTTTTTTCTTTTTTTTTTATTTGCGAATGACCAAAAGGATCACTAAGGGCATTTTCTGTTTTGTTTTTCCCTCCAACTAATAACCAAGAGACCGTATTTTTATATTCAGTAGGGAAGGTGGCATGCTGTGATGGCATCCTTATCTGAGTTGCTTTCTGCCTTATTGATGATTTCCTAATTGTCTGTTTGCTTGTTTTTAGAGAAGCTTCTGATAATCTTGCTGTACAAACTGTGAAGGGGTCGTTTTCTAATGCTTCAGGTATAACTACTAATTGGAATCTGGGTGTTAAGAATGCTATGTTGTCTGCACTGAGCACTTAGGAACTAAGGCTGACACCTTCTCACACTGAAAATAGGGAAAAAGGAACATGTCAACAGGTTGTGCCACATGAGATGTGCCCCACATCCTGGAAGCACTAATGCAGCTTGGGCTCAGGATACCTTCTAGTCTGTCTCACTGCTGTATTCATACGTGTGGTTTAACCTTCATTTTACGAAGTTTACTGTATACATATATTTCCCTCATACAAGGGATTAAAGAAATGTATCTCAGGCCAGACATGGTAGCACATACCTGTGCCCCTAGCACTCAGGAGTCTGAGTCTATAATACATGTAACAAAACCCTGTCTCAAAGACGAAAGAAGGCCCAGGTATGATCTATCCTCTAGAATCACAATGAGATGTACACTAATAACCTGCGCTTTATGGCTGGTGTGTTCTAGAAACTGGGCCCAGATAAAGGCTCTAACTTGAAACTTTCTGCCTCAGGTTTGTTTGAAATCCATGGAACAACAGTAGTCCCCACTGTGAGTATCATATCTCCAGAAAAGCTGTCAGCCAGCACCAGGAGGCGACATGAGACTCAGGTACATCACACCCACCTTTCTTTGTTTTTTGTTTGTTTGGTTTTTTGGTTTTTTGTTTTTTTTTTTTTTTTTTTGCTTGCTTTTATTTTGTATATTCGTGTTTTGCCTACATGTATGTTGTGTACCAACATGTATGCTTCATGCCCTTATAGACCAGAAGCAGGCATTAGGTCCCCTGGAAATGAAGTTGCAGATGATTTTGAGTGGCTGTGTGGGTGCTGGGAACTGAACCGGAGTCCTCTGGAATAGTAGTAGCCAGCTCTTAACCTTTGAGCCATTTCTCCAGCCCTGTGTCCTTGGCTTTCTAACAAGAGCTACAGAGAAGAAAACAACAGGAAAGAAATATAAAGATTTTTTTCCCCCTTTGCTAACCTAGTGGCCTCTGAAGATGTCAGCACAAAGTCTCTGGCGCCATAATTCAGCCCACCTGTCCACCAAAGATGTTAGTGTGTAGGCAGCAGTTGTCACCAGGTGACCCATGCGTGGCAGCTGGAAGTGGCTTGTTTCTCTTCTAAATAAGAGCATTTTTAGGCCAGTCACAAGAGTGAGTTTCTCACTCTAAACATGATTCGGTGTCTGTTGTATGCCTGTGCTAAGGCCACGTGTATAACCTTAGACGCTTGTGCACTGTGCAGTTAAGAGAAGAAAGAAAGTGACAGAATGGCAAGTTAACTATGTTGAATGTGAGTGATATGAGCAGAGCATGCCATGAACATACTGGGAGAGGATGTTAAGAGCATTTCTGGTTTTTTGTTGTTGCTGTTATGGAGGTTTTTGGTGGAGGGTTCCCTTTAGATTTTTGAGACAAAGTTTCTCTGTACAGCCCTAACTGTCCTGGAACTTGGTGTGTAGACCAGGCTGGCCTCGAAGAGATCCACCTGCCTCTGCCTCCCCAGTGCTGGGACTAATGTGTGTACATCTTGGCCCAACTGTTAAGAGCATTTATTTGTAAACCAGCTGTGGTGGTATACACCTGTAATCTCAGCTACTTGGGAAGATGAGGCCAAACTGGGCAACATAAGTCCTAAAATCAGTCTCTCCCTCAACCTCCAATGTATATCAAATCTTTATGTTCTGCTTGGCACCCTTCCTAAAGCCTGGCTTTGTTGCCTTGCTGTTCTCTGGAATGGTTTAACATACTCTGAACTCATTTTCTTATTAGGTACAAACCCGACTTCAAACCGCCCTTGCCAATTTACATCAGAAAAGCAGTGAAATTGAAATTTTGGCTGTAAGTCACTTTCTTTAACAATCTAAAGCTAGCAGTGGTCTGCATTATCTAGTGTGGCCTCAGAATTCAGGGCTTTCTTTGCTGTCAGCTGTATCTGGAATCAGACCTGGCTGCTCCTGACATGAGTGACAGGTAGCAGCCTAAAGCTAGACAAGCTGGGGAGAAAAGGTGGTTGGTGTGTCTCTGTTTTAAGGCACACTCACATTCAGGCCTTGCAAGGCACATGTGGCAGCTCACACCTCTGGGGTGTGGGCGTGAAATCTGGAAAGCCAGCCTCAAGCACTGCACTTCGAAGTCCATTTAAAGTCTGCTTTAGGGGCTGGGAAGATGGCTCCATGGTTAAAGCCCCTGCCATGCAAGCATGAGGACTGGCATTCAGACCCCCAGAACCCACTTAAATGCCTACAGTTCCAACCTGGGAAGGCCGGCTTGCAGACTAGGCACATGAGCCAGCTCTGGACTTCTCTGAGACTCTGCCTCAGAGAATAAGATGGACAGCAGTTGAGATAATTCCAGCATCAACCTCGGGCCTTCACACATGCAGTGTGCCTACACACATGTACACACACATGGGGAAGAGGGGCTCACAGCATCCACACCAAGTCCCTAGTCTGCGTGTGCTGCTTAAGACTTCTTAGTAAATAATGTTCATTTCTTTGTATTAACAGGTGGATCTACCAAAAGAAACAATCTTACAATTTTTATCGTTAGAGGTAAGCAATGGGAACTTTTACAGCTCTGTCAAAGGAAAACTGGAAAAACATCTTAAATGTCCTTAGTAATTATGTCTTCCTGGCAGCATAGGTAATTTGGCTGATGACATTGGTCTGTCTGTTAGTATGTATCACAGGCATTCCTGAATCAGAATCACACAGCCACAAAGTATCAAAGCCAGGATATGAGCCTATCGGACTGTTGTAATCTAGGTTCTTACCTATAGTACCATGTGTTTCCCAAGCAAACCTTCATTCCAGCTAGGGAAGCACAACTACATAGAAGAGTCTATTGTAAAAAACAAAAATTTAGGTCAGTTAGTTTACAGGTCTATACCTCTATATTTTTTTTTCCAATTTTTAAAAATTTGAACTTTCCCATTTGAAATAAAATAACCACAGCTACAGGTGATTTATTTATTTATTTATTTATTTATTTATTTATTTATTTACAGAACAAGATTTTACCAAGTAGCCTGTCCTAGTTTGTTTTCTGTAGCTATGTAAAACACCAACCAAAAGCAATTGGGGATGAAAAGGACAGGAACTGCAGGGCAAGAAGAAACCACGGAGGAATGCAGGAGGACTGCTGCTATCCCCTGGCTTGCTTGTTTATGCTTGCTTGCATATATAGCTCAGGCCCACCTGCCTAGGGTAGCACCACCCACAGTGGTCTAGGTCCTCCAGCATGTATTGCTCATCAAGTAAATGGCCCAGGGGCCAATCTGCTGGAGCCAATTCTATTGATGGTCCCTCTTTCTAGGTTAGTTTGTATCATTCACAAAAACCAGCATAGCCCAAGCTGGCCTTGAAATGTAGTAGTACTCCTGCCTCAGGCTCCCATGAGTGAGATTACAGGCCATAGGTAGTTTTTAAAACATTTCACATCAAAAAACGTTGTCTATCCAAAAAATAAAATAAACTGCACTAAGAATTGGAAGCAGGAGGGTCCTCGGTTTAGGGACAGAGTACTACAGAATAACTGCCTCATCATTCCCTGTTGATCATACAAACACACACACACCACTCTATGGCAGTTCACTGACTTATGATCTAGTCCAGTGAGCAGACATTAAAGTCAACAATCTCCACCTTACACAAAGTGTTCAAGAAAAGCAACCTAAAGTCACAGTAGCTCACCATGGCAAGGTTAAGAAGCCTCTACACCTATAGTCTTCAAGAAAATTGATGCTTCAAAAGACGAACTCCTGTCTCCCCATAACCCACTCGCCGGATCCAGAAAAGGCCAGGCAACGTCCCTGATGCTCTGCTGTCATATCTGTCTGGTCTTTCCTAGTGGGATGCTGATGAACAGGCATTTAACACAACTGTGAAGCAGCTACTGTCACGCCTGCCAAAGCAAAGATACCTCAAACTCGTCTGTGATGAGATTTATAACATCAAGGTTGAAAAGAAGTAAGTTGTTAAAATTCAGAATTGTGATTAACAGCCAATAAGTCCTACTCAGATGGTGAATCACGGTGAAGATTTTGTCCATAGCAAAACACTATACGCCTGAGTGTAGCTCAGGCTACACATATGTCACAATTATGTTGTCCATCCAACTCCATTCATTACTTCTAAAAGTATGTTGGCCTTTTCAGGTTGGGGAAGAATTGTGTGTGGCATGTGAAGGCCTGAGGTTCCTCACCTTTTCCTTTTGACAGGGTCTCTCTGAACCTGAAGCTCATCAGATTAGCTAGATGACTGGCATCAATGGGCTTTAGGGACACACCTATCTCCCCCTGTCCAAAGCCAGAGTTGTAGGCATCACCACTCTGCCCAGCTTTTTAATATTGGTTCTAGGGATCCAAATTCACTGCTTGCTTGGCATGCACTTTACCAACTGAGCCATCTCCCAAGCCCCAGAAATGGTTTACATTAAAGAAATAACCAGGCATGGTGGCACACACCTACAATCCTAGCACTTGGGAAGTAAAGACAGATCAGGAATCCAAGGTCATCCTTAGCCTTCAAGGCAAGTTTGAAGCCAGTCTGGGTTACAGAGACTCTGTCACAAAAAAGCAAAGAGACATTAAAAAGAAAAGCAAAACAAAAATGTGGCTGCCCTTGCTGTGTGTATGTCAAAATACCAGTTATTCACATTACCATGTAACTTAAAGGCTGTCAAGGAAGCTAGGTGAATGTCTGTCTTCCACAACAGCCCTTTAATTGTAAACTGTGAGTCCCAGCTCCAGGAAAGCTTATGCACTCTTTGTAGTAATTGGTCTCTCATCACATTCAACTAGTATTGTTTTACCCACTGAGTCTGCCTGTCCCTCTTCTTGCAGAGTGTCGGTGCTGTTCCTGTACAGCTACAGAGATGACTACTACAGAATCCTATTTTGACCCTGAGGAACTGTTGCTGCATTGTTCAAATGGACAGAGGCTTATACTGGATAATGGAATGTTGTACATTCATTTTAACTTAAATTCTAATAAGCTGTCCTACAAAGTTGAGCTTTGTCGGTCTTTCATGTATGTTATAAATTTATCTTTTTGGATACAATAAATGCTTTCATATATCTGCTGTTTTCCAGTTGCAATTCTGTTAACACTAGAGATTATATGGGAACTAGAGAAGAACAGCCTTTTTCTAAGCACACGAAAATGTCCTAACATTTTCCAAACGGATAAAAAGGCATGAGTACAGAACAGGGTCTTACTATGCAGCCCAGGCTGGCCTCAAACTCAAAATCAGCCTGCCTCCAGACCATTGAAATTACAGGCTTGTGCCACCATACCAGGCAGAATCTTTCTTCTTGATTCTATAATATTTATTCTATTGTCATTAAGGGATCTCCTGTTTGGCTATTAGAACTCAGAGTTGCTGATGGAATTATAAGATTAGACAACAAGGTCCAGGGAGATGGCTCAGCCGTAAAGACACTTGCTGTGAAGTCCAACAACTTGGGGTTTAGTCCCAGGATCCATGTGGTAGAGAAAACCAATCATACAAGTTGATACTGTGGCACAGAGCAAATGTGTACACCCACATAAAAATAAATGTAATTTTTTTTAAAATTACACAACCAAGTAAAAAACCCACCCACAGGATAAAATGACTTTTAATAAAACTGTCAGATTTCTATTACAGATTCTCAAAGACAGGCAAAAACCATTGAGTAACTGTATCATCCTAGAGTTAGTAGTCACTGTCAGAAACAGGGTAAGCAAAGAAACAGCACGGATGGACTTGGTGATGCACAGTTCTTCAAAGATGACTAGACACTGGAAGACTGGAGTCTCAGAATATCCAGCCATACACCGAAGATCTAAAAACAAACTGGCTTCTCATCAGTTTAGAAGGGTTGATCATCCAACCCTTCCCTCTGAAAACAACCCTTACATGAAAACAGTTACATACAGAAGGTGCCAAAAGCAGCAACACAGGAAACTGCCCTTCAGCTGGTTGGCAATGGCCACGCCTGTCACTGTGCCGGTTTGGTCTTCTTACTCTTGTTCTTCTTGTCCCTCTTCTTCAGCCCATCCATGTTAGCTCTCAGTAGGTTTGAGTAGGCCTGGAATCCAGAACATGGCCTTAGCAGGAAAAGGTACAAACGGGGAAAGCAGCTGACTTTTCCAAGATGGACTTAAGAGTAGCCAGCATCAGAAAGCCTACTGGGACACCATGGGACACCTGCATTGGGAACTGGTAAGCCACAGAAAGCCTTCACCTCTTCAGCAGCTCCTGAGACTCCCCCACAAGGAGCTACAGGCTTTGCACTCTTCAAGCAAAAAAGGAAAACTTCTGGCAACTTCCTATTCAACAATATTATAGAGTGTATCTGAAGTTTTAAGACAAAACTAACCTTAAAAACTCAAAGGAAAAACTACTGCTGGACAATATTCATAAAAACAAAACACCACAGGCAAGCAGTGACGGTCCCCACCCTTCTGGAGGAGGAATGGAGAACACAAAGAAATGGAACTTACCATCTGAAACTTATTCACTTCTTTGGAACTCACCTGGAAAAGGGGAAAAAAAAAATCACCTCTTTTTATAGACATACACGCCACCTATTTCACCCAGATGGGAGCTCAAAATGCTTCAAGACAACACCCAGGCCAGGCATGACGGTACATACGCCTTTTCATCTCAGCACTCTGGAGGTAGACCTCTGTAAGTTCCAGACCAGCCTGGTCTACAGAGCAAGCTGCAAGACTGCACAGAGATCCTGCCAACATGCAAAGTAGCTCTGTGCCTTCTTCCACACAAGAACTGCACCAGGATGGGAAGGCAAAAGTGGGCTCGCACCAAACCTATTCACCCTTAAAAATCCCTCAGACAAGCCCACTCTGGTAATCCCAGTCCCAGCAACTGTGAGACAGAGATGACAAGAGAGCCTTTAAGTTTAAGGTGGGGAAAAAAAATCCCTTATACAGAAGCCCCTGAGGTTTTCCTTGGATTCTGATATCAAAGGACTTCTTGGTGTTAATTAAACCAACTCTATCAGCTGAGCAGCATGGTGGCACTGGCCTGGACTCCCAGCAGTCAGGAGGCTTGGGCTAAAGGATAATGAGTTCAAGACCAGTATGGGCTAGATAAGCAAGCAAGAACCTATCTCAAAAAAAAAAAAAAAAAAAAAAAAAAAAAAAAAAAAAAAAACCTGTCTTCCATTATTTCAGGTTGATAAAGGCATAATTCAAGCTGCCACAAAAGAAGTAATGTCTAGGAAGAATCTTCAGCTTCATATCTGTAAGAGCCACATGAACTTGTTTTACTTTCTTCTCAAGATAACTCATAGAGGAAGACACCAGTTATTGTTTGCAGTTTGAGTATCCTGAACTAACGTGATTACAATCGGTCCACAGAATTAAGTAGTATCCACTCTGAACCAGGGAATCTGTCTTGCCACACTCAGCCTCTCAGAAAAAGACCACAGTTCTTGACTATAATTTCAAGTACCAACCCTAACCTGTATTTACGTTTGCTAAGTGAACCACAAAAACTAGGAGAAATCATCTAGCCAGGCTGTGGTGGTGCACACCTTTAATCCCAGCACTCAGGAGGCAGAGGCATGTAGATCTCTGTGAGTTCCAGGCCAACCAGTGCTGTTACACAGAGAAATCCTGTTTTGGGGGGTGAGGGGTAGGAGGGATTTAATACCCAGAAATTATTTACTGAAGGCCCAGCACAGAAAAGAAATAGACCAATCATTCTTCATAGCAAATACTGGGCGGATGAACCCATATGCCCACTTTATTTCCATAGAAATTTCAGCAAAACAAGCATTTGGCCTCTATTTTAAGAGTTTATTGTTGATAATTTGTACTACAAAATATAGTAACTAGGAAGGTGGTGCACACCTATGATCCTCCCACTTTGGAGACAGGCAACAGAGTCAGGAGTTCAAGGCCACGACAGGCTATATAATGAACCTGAATTACATGTGACCTCATCTGAAACAAACACACCCCTACACCCAAAAACAACAAACCAACAAAAAACCAAAAGTGGGCCCTAATCCAAAAACAGCCTGGGAGTGACAGGCCAAAAATGAAAGGGAGGGGGAACCTAATTCAAAAGCGCCCCTCTTCGGTTAATGTAGTTTTAAGATACAGTTCAGGGAGCTGGCGGTGTGGCTTAGTAACAGGGTGATGACAGACACAATGAAGACCCTGGCCCGGATTCAATCTCTTAGCCCCACAGAAATCATCACTGTATCTGTCTCGGCTGACAACATACACTGTGACCCCGGCACAGGCCGAGGCGTCTGCTGTGACAGTTTTTAAAATTCAGCTTACCAGCCGGCCGTGGGATAGACCGTCACCTGTACCTCAGTTATTTGAGACAGGATTAAGTTCACGGCAGACAGACTTAAAAGAAGGCAAAGCAGAAAAGACAGGACTCCAGCTCACCACGGTGCTGATCTTCCTTTTCCCATCCGTAGCTCTCAACAGACACTTGTTTTCTGCGGGCTCAACGCTCTCCACCGCACTCTTCCGTGGAGTGGGTTTGGTGCGACCATCATCTGCGTTAAAAAAAAAAAAAAAAAAGTTACAACCTGGGGAACACCCACCGCCACAGGCGTTGCTGCCGGCTCCAAAGTGAAAACGGCAGAGAAGAGTTCCAGGGTGACCCCAATCCACCACCACTGCTCTCGCCTCCCATAAACTCGCCACACTCATCGTCACTCAGGGGGGTTTCAATCGTGGGAGCAACGACTTGACACTGCGACCCCAAGGCATGTGCGACCTCACTGACGGAGCAGGGGCTGGGCTGCCTGACTCGCCACTGCCCCGACCCTGAGCCCCGGAGGTGGCCGGTGCCGGGAGGCCGGAGTGAGCGGCCCCTCCCAGCCGTCGTCCCGGGGGCTGCTTACACTTCTTCAGGGTGATGTACACGCTGCCCGACGACCGGCACTTCTGGAAGAGCCTGGTCAGCTCCGTCAGGAACTGCAACACAACACGCCCGGTTAGGCAGCCTCCAGTCCTCGCCCCGCCGCGTCACGGCCCTGGCCCGCCCGCAAAGAGGGAAATGCGACCCGAGCTGACCCCATTCGCTCGAGTCCCCGGCCCTCCGGGCAGCCGGTACCTGCTCGCTCTCGAGCAACACCATCCTGAGCTCCGCCGGTTCCGACTCCGTCAGCAGAAGCCGCTGCAAGCGGTTACAGCCGGAAGTCTCGCCTGCGATGGGCGGGGCTTCCGCTTCCAGTTGCACTTCTTCCGCCAATGTGCCCTCGGACCCCCACCACCGCAGACACACCCTTCAGCCGGCCCAGGATGAGGAGTGCGTTGCACCTGTACCTCAGCTGTTTAGGAGACTAAGTTCACAGCCAGACTGACTTAAAAGAAAACAAAGCAGAAAAGGCAAGACTCCAGCTCACCACGGTCCTTAGGCCCTTTGGGCCCTTGGACTGTCAGGCCTGCTGTGCTCACCCTAGGCTATGGAAGGGAATGAGAGCAAAAAAAAAAAAAAAAAAAAAAGACTTGATAGAAATATGTAAGTTGCCGGGCGTTGGTGGCGCACGCCTTTAATCCCAGCACTCGGGAGGCAGAGGCAGGCGGATCTGTGTGAGTGCGAGGCCAGCCTGGTCTCCAGAGCGAGTGCCAGGATAGGCTCCAAAGCTACACAGAGAAACCCG